TATATATATATATATATATATATATAACATGAGGTGTTAGCCGAATGTTTTAAAATGTTTAAAACATTCATGAGGCATTTGGTACGTTTGAACACGGTTGGTTTTTGACCGTAAGTCTGCAAAACACCTGCCAAAAATCCTGGAGTAAGTCAGCAGTGTTCAGGGCGTGTTCAGGGATCAAACTTGGCTCCAATTTAACTCAAATTTGTTTTATAAGTCATATATAGAAAGGTAAGCATGGCCTAAATCTGGTCAGAGTACTAGTACTCTCGAACACCAGCCAACCTGTTCAGCTGGTGTTGGGAAACGAATTTGTCTGAAGTTCGTGAAAGTGCGACAGGGGCTTAAGGCTTGAGGCAGGTGTGTATGTCTCACCTGCAGTGTCGTCACAACAGCTATGAGAACAGTCCTCCAGACTGTCTGAGGAGAAGGAGCTAAGGAAGACAGCCCCGCCCAGCTCCTTAGACTTCCTCAGGTTGATGATCTTGTCGTCTGTGAAGTTGAGGGAGCACTGTCCGTACTGTACCAGCTCAGCTGCTGACACAGCACTCAGGGTCACCAGTAGGACCAGCAAACCTGAACACATGGAATCCATCCTGAGGGAAACACAGAAAATATGTACAATTAATCAATACTTGTCAATGAAGGTTAGACATCCAAGGATCGAATGAGATACACAATATACAAGCATTAATATTACACGGTAGATAGATTTTCAAAAACTGTCAGACATTTCAAGTAGTATCCACTACTTTTCATGACTGACTGACGAAAGGTAGTGAAATGTCTGAGAGTTTTCTAAAATCTATCCAGTTGTTTAAGTAACAAATGATGGACATAAAGACATTGAAAACTTCTTCTTTATAAGAAAGATGTGTCAATATGTATGAATCCCAGCCAAATAAACCACTGTTCCCTTTGCAAAAAAGGTTTGTTTTGCTTCATCTTTGTGTAAAAAAACGAGAACAAACATTTCTTTTACACACAATTGTTTTTTTCTGAACCACTACTTCCCTCTTTCACGTTTGCAAAGTTAACAAAAGCCAGGTTCGCTGTTTAGTACTACTAAGTGTTAAATAATTCTCATATAAACAACTTAAAACACTCACTAAAAGGACCCAAATGACCACTTCACGCACCTGAACGTTTCCACTATTTTGGTCAAGTTAACTATGTACAGTAATGCATGTTGGTGCATTGTAGAGACATACAAAAGCCCTTTCACATGGCAATTAGGTGTGTCTGTGCTACTCTCCAAGCAGAGGTAGGGTCGCTCGGTATTTTGGCAGTAATTTCGGTATTTATTCTCCCTAAGGGGAGGAAGACCCAAAAAAAAAACCGTAAAAGTAGAAAGACGTATTAAAAACGCGAAAATACTGCCAAAATACCGAGCGACCCTACCTCTGCTTGGAGAGTAGTATACCTCCGTTCGGATAGTGGATAGTGACTGTTGGAGCGGACATAAACTAACAAGGATGGTACCCAGCTGCAGGCTAACTGTCTCCGGTGTGATGAGGTTTAAATTCCTGCTTGATTAAAAGAAATGCATGTACACACAATTTGTGCCATAACGGTGAATAATAATTTGTTTGGTCAAGGCAGCAACGCACCAGGGCAGAAGAGATGTAAGTGCCTCTCTGTCAGTGAACCATCAAAGGTCATCAAATTTTGAACGATGGGCAGCATACGAGCGCCACCTATTGGAATCAATTCAATATGCAAGATAAAGTAACTTGTTTCAGCATCCGCGGACACATGAGCACTGGCTTGCTGGTTTGGCGAATGATTTTTATTGTTGGGGAGATTATGAGATCATCGAATCGTCTTGTCTGCACCTCCGTCTTGGAGTAACAGTACCTCAACAAGTGGCAGTGCACTAGCGCCCCCTGTCGGAATCAGTTGAATATGCATGGTGATGCACTTCGCTTCCAGCACCACTGGACATAGGTTCACTAACTGGCTTGCTTGCTTGAGTTCATAGTTTGTGTTAAGTGTATGATTCAGTGTACTGAGTTAGAATGAAGTGGGTGCTTTGTAATGTTGTGTATGATTCAGCGGACCGAGTTTATAGAGTGTCTACAACGCAATACTGATTTTAAAAATGTCAGTGGGCTACCACCAGTATGGCAATAATGATCACATTGACCAGGCTCCATTGACAACTTAAACTACATGTTTAAGTATGTTTTATTTGTCTGCAAGTTACGAAAGAATAATTGCTTAACGACATTGACAACTTACCTATAACGTCACAACCAAACTGTACCCCATGTCAACTACAGCATTTATCAAAAAAACTTAAAATACATGTAACGGCGTTCTGTTTAATTCTTTGTATACAGAATTCTCAATACGGGGAAAACGATTCTAGTTTCTATTAATCTAAACAAATGTATACCTTCTAGCAGTCAAATTTTACAGTGATGTACTATTGAAACGACCCTTGTTTTTGTGACAATCGTCAACTACATGTACATTAATCTATTCAGAGCAACATTTTCCATATATGCATTATACTGTAATCTATAAAACTAATGTAATACATCTAGATTTCTTACTGTTACCAAGGAGGTTACATCTGCCCTATAACCTGTTTTGTTTATGTTTACAATTCAATAATAAGCAGACAGTTTAAGTACTTGTACATATTGTACTTACATGTAGGCTTGTATCAGAGAGAGTGACCTATACACATACATGTACCTCTTTCACACTTCTTACAAAATAAACAATCTATACCTCGAAGGTGGTAGTGACCACACACGTTTTAACTCTACATCTCATTGTAACAATTCCACTAGGTTTTTAAACTTTAGTCTACGTCATCATCAGGGACTTTTTCGTACACCTCTTCTTCCTCTTCTGCTGGTTTTTCTTCCGTTGGTTTGTTGTCGTTTGCGTTTGGCACCCACAGGCCTGAATCTACACATCGCTTCATGTGGTATCTATGAAGGGAACAAGATTACCTTTTAAAAGTTTCATCTTGGGAAGAAAAAAAGAGCAAGATTTCCTTTTCATCTTGGAGGCTGTTGTGGTATCTAGAAGGACAAAACAGAAAGGGCTTTAGAGTCAAATTTTGTTGAAATAAAACGAAAAATTAAAATGACCAATACCGGTGGTTTCCATGAAGCAAGGGTGTAGATTCCAGGCTAGTGCAAGCCGTTAAAATCCTTGATTAAAATCTAGTTAACATACAGTAAACTACACTTCTGAGTATCTACACTTGTACACTATTTCTTTTCATCCAAACTGCTCAGAAAATAGCTTGGAGGTTGGACTGAGAAATTCTAAACTGTTTAAAGTGCGACGTAGAAATGAAACAATCTGCTGTCATGGAAACCACCGCCAGTCACTACTGAACACGACACTGCCACCCCGGGGGCTTCTCGTCATCTGGACTATCGTCTTCTTCCTCCTGTTCGCTGTCTGTTTTGTTGTCGCCGTCCTCCGTCGCTTTTCTCCGCCGTAAAACCGTGTCTGTGTTCTCGTCGGGGACCTTGGTGGGAAATCTGTGTTCTGTGGGAGGAGGTGTTGTTGTTGTTGTTGTTGTTGTTGTTGTTGTTGTGTCCTGGGGGACCCACAGTCCTGACTTGATACACCTGTCTATGTGATGTCTTGGGAAGAAAAATCAGTCAGATTCAATACAAGAAAGATCAAATAGTGGCTTTAAAATTTTGCCTGGTGTCACTTTTCTAGTTGCAATAGTAGTGGAGGAACTGTAGCTACATAGCCATTTCCACTGGTATGAAAATAAGGTACCGGTACCTGTACAACATGCATCAATAGTTGAAAATTCATTACATTTTTGTGAAATACATGTACTAATAATAGAGTGGGACTGAGAAACAAGTAGGGTGACCACCATGCATCAGGTTTTAACATCAATGTGACTGTTTTCACAATGTTATGGACTTATCAAAGCTTTAACAAAGTTTACATAAAATGACTAGGTAACTATGCATTGAGATGTATTCCACCTACATGTTTGAGAACGAAGAACAATGACAAACAAAAAGATTGGCTGCATCTTTGAGGAGTCAAGAAAAGGGTACATACCTGGCATCCTCTTCAGGCAGTTCAGTGATGGCCTTCTGTAACATGGGGATGTCCTGCTTCTCAAAACAGTCTTTCAACACCTGGGGGAAAAGTGTTATAAACTGTCATCACATTTTGGTAAAAAATGTAAAGGTAGTCCCATAGCCTTTTGAGGCCGTAGGGGCGATGTGTTTTTATCCCACTGTGTCTAGAGCATGGTACTCAAAGGCAGAGCCCATCCCTCTCCTTCCACCGCTTTTTACCTCAACAAACACAGTCGTGACTATCATGCACTCATTTTATAGGATTGTGAAAGTGCCTTTTTTACAACACAAATTCTTGCCAAGAATGCCAGGGATCGAACCTGTGACCTCTCAATCTTTTGTTTGCTGGCCTAACCACTGACAAATTTTACATGTCTACCTCAATAAAACTTAATCTAAAACTTTCTTGCTGACATCTCATAAACTCAAATGTCTTTGAAAGAAAAGTACAAAATGTACCTGTGGAAGGGACTCAAAGACTTCAACAGGATCCAGGCCTCCTGGTCCCAATCTCTTCTGTCTCTCCTCCTGCGGATAAAGGAAATAATTTTGTAACTAACCGAGTTTAAGAGTTTGTACAATTAAGAGGCAAAAGTGCAAATAAAAGGAATTACATGTATATAAGGTTGACTGCTAGACATCAATGTGCATACAATAAAGGGTAAGTGATTTCATACTACACCTCTTCCGCTTCCTTCATTGCTCTCTCAATGCGTGCCTCTGCACGGCCTCTCACTCTGGTTTTGAAGGAGTCAAGCTCATCGTTGAAAGCATCTGTATACTGCTTGTCTGCTGTTTTGATTCTACACAAGGAAAAAAGAAAAAAAAATCAAATAAAAAATGCATTACTGCTACTTCCTAAAATGGCCCCCAAAATGTTTGTTTGTTTGTTTCGCATAACCGGTAAACCGCCTTCAGGCGTAACACACCAGTTTTGTACATGTGCGCACATGTACAAGCTGCGTAAGACCAGACTGTAAGTTTTGAACCACTCACACCGGGAAGATCCCCTACTCTTTTCGATAAGTGCGGTGGGTTCTTTAACGTGCATGGGGTGTGGCTCTCCCAAACACGGGACCTCCATTTAACGTCCTATCCGAGGGACGTCCCTAACCGAAGCTAGGTACTCATTTTCACCTGAGTGAAGTGAGGAAAGTCGTGTAAAGTGCCTTTCCCAAGGGCACAAGATCGGTGACATGGGCAGGGTTCGAACCCACAACCTCTGGGGTGTGAGCCGAACGCGCTACCGACTGCGCCACACGACCCCACAATGGATCTATATCTAGTGATTTGGTACATGATTTCTTGCAAAAAAGAACAGTTTTGATTCTAATAGATTAACACTTTAAAACATGATAAAATGAGGACACATTATTCTTTGTAATAAGTTAAACCTAAGAAGCCCTGGTCCCAGGCTATATAATAAAAGCCCTACCTTGAGAAGAAAGGCTTGACACACGCCCTGGGGTCTGCGTCCAGGCTCTTGGCTAACTCCAGGATGTACTGCATGATAATAGTCTGGTGGGCGACTTGGTCCATCAGGGCAGTTTTCTGTGGGAACATTTGGTATCATCAATCTGACTGAAGATGTACATTGTGTGAATATCATCTGTATAAGTTTTCATGTAAAGCACATGACAGTTGTATTTACTTGTAACTTTGTTGAAAAACATGACAGCCATTGTTTGAGTAAAAAGGTTTAAAAGGGCATAGAAAAGTTGACAAAAAAACTTACTTAAATTGCTACAGATTCAGAGACTTTCTGACCTAATATTCCTAAGATTACACTCTACTTTGGAAACATAATGAAACAAAAGATTAGACATTTCATACTTTCTTGGGTTTTTTGTGACCTGTTGGCCTCCTGCCCGTCAATCTTCCCCCACCCACGTGCTGTCAATCTACTCTTTCCGGACAAACTTCTGTACCCAGAAGTAATAACAACTCCTGAGGCATTGCCAAAAAAAGCCAGCCTCCTCACCTCCTCTACCTGCAGGTTGATACACCAGATGGCCAGGTAGTTAGCACACTCATCACACACCAGCTCTGGGTGGTCAGTAAGGAACTGCATGGAGTCATCGTACTTCTTAAACATCCCAAACTTCTTACACAGCTTCTCATTCTTCTCCACAAACGTTCTCTGCATCTCCTCCTTCTCCTCCTCTGTAGCTTCTGCCTTCTTGGCAGGTTTCTTATTTATGACCTGGGATAAGACACTGTTGTTAGTATGTGTAGTACATCATGTACATGTACAACTAAAGACGGTCTTACTATTAAGGGCTTAGTTGAGTTCCTTGCAATATTTTGGGTTTTTCATTGAAACAATCCCAATTCTAATCATGTTTACAGAAGGAAAACATACTGTTTTTGCTCAGTTTCCTCCTCTTCTTCTCCAACCAAAAAGGTCAATGACCTGAACCAGATGACTGTCACCATGGTAACTGGTGTTGGGTTACATCATGTTGTAATTTTATAGCAGGAGGGATTTAGACTCCTGTCTGGCCATATATATGAATGTGTTTGAGTAAAGAATTAACAGGCAGACCTACGCGAAGGTAAACATTATGCATTTGCTTTGCAAATGTTACCTTTCTACTGTGTATCATACATTCACACTGCTGTATATTAAGATGGACAACCAGGTACATTTTTGTTGAAAGTAAAAGTAAGTGTAACTCAGCACACTTACTGTTTTCTCCCACTTGTCTTTACTGAGGGTGTCCACATTCCAGGGTGTCAGCTGTAAAAAAAAAAAAACAGTAGCCTAAATCATTCATTATGCTTCAATTACAAAAAAAAAATCAAATTTTGAAACTTGCCATTTTTTAAAATGAGGATAGAGCATTAATTATTAGTAACAAGGTCCGGTAAATACACTTAAATGTATTTGTAGCAATAATAATTAAAAACGATCTACCTTTTCCTTCTTAGTGAGTTCTTCCTCCTTCTGTTTCCACTCTTTCTCCTGTTTCTTCAGCTCACTCATCTCCATCTGTAGCTTCAACACCTGGGCTTCAACCTGCTGTCATAAAGGATTGAGAAATAACTTGACATTTGCTGGCAAATACATTATGTCTCTGTGTTGTAATTGTTCAGCCCAGAAACAAGAACTTCTTCTATTCTGATATTTTTATAGACACAACTTCTTTACATTTCACTTAGTGTCGTGCTGTATAATTCTCTGATGTTATAGTCCAATATTTTCTGTTGCCTGCCCCTCTTTCTTCCTCCCTGGACTGTTTCTGGCATATAGCTTTATTATAACAGCATAAAGTTTGCACTGAAGTAAATAATATGTACGTATGGTTTCTCACTTCTTTTGTCTCCGCCTCTGCACAAGCTGACAGGTCTTCCAGCTTCTTCCTGGTTTCTTCTAGCTTCTTTTTGTTACTAGAAGGAGTACAAAAAAAATGATACAGTTACAATGACAGAAAAATATGTGTGATGTTATAGAAGCAAATGATGGAAAGACAAGAGCTAAAATACTGACACTGTACTACAATGAACTGAAATGTGAAGTACATGTATGAGAAATGTCTGCTTACTCCAGTGAGCCCCTTTCGAAGTCCTGTCTCTCTTTCTTCTGTTCCTCCATACGCTCCACCCTGGCCTGGTGACGCCATCTGAACAGACTCTGGGTGTCCACGTTAGGGTGGGTCTCATCTTCATCATCTGATACCTGAAGACAAACCAACAATAACGAATATCAACATATACACTACATTGAGTATATAGTAGAGGGGATTTCATTCCTCAAGCTGAGCGACATCTTGCACATGCAGTCGTCCCTCAGTAAGACAACTGGAGCCGCACAGTTCCCGTTTAGAACTTTTATTCAGCCTGCCACACAACCAGTTTCACCTATGTACCATTCTTGTGGCTAGAAGGCATATGAACTGGATAGTCAAGTAACTACAATATGTATATACCAGATGATTGAAATTGGATGATACTTTTTAGGCTGTATTTTGTTATGCTGTTTGTTTAAGTCAAATTTATTGTCGTTTGTGATATCTAGGAAATAATTCTATGTAGGGACCTAGTCTGTGGTCTACATGTATGCGGCGGTTGGCATTGCCAAAGATGGGCAGTATGCCTTAGTTATCAGTATCTGTACATCGCCAGTATACCTGCCCTTCGGCGTAACACACCACTGAGTATCCATTGTCTTATAATGTGTGTAACAAAGCCATGGGTTCTAATCAAGGCATAAGCAGCAAGGATAAAATTTCTATACACAAATTTATATATTTCTTGCTCTAAGTAACCAACAGTTTTTAAATCCTGATAATGTACACGAATATTAAAATATTGAAATTAGGTTCACATAAAAGTGAATGTTTATTATTTCAACTGCGGGTAACGTGCAAAGCAGGCAAGCAATTCATAGGCATCCCCCTTCCCACAACTTTTTAGCAAGCCCCTATGGAGTACATTGACAAATGCGCAACAACAGATCTCAGAAAAATGAGGAAGTTTCGAGAGAAAAAAATATCTTTGAACAAGGTGCGAAAACAACAGTAATTTTTAGGCGATTTTAGGCCAATGCGACAATTCAACCCTCATCCAAGGAATACACCTTATTCTCTAAGATGTTAAGTATCACCTGAGATAGTTCTACGAAAAAAATGTAATTCATAGACAAAGGAAAAGTACCTCAATGTGATCCCACCGACTGTAATCCAGAGGTCTCGCCATCATGAAAACCGAAGATAAGCTTTCTCTTGCGTGAACATGCGAGAAAAGGCGAGAGCTCTTGGGAGTTGTACATTGAAAATAAAAGGGAGTTCAGGAAATTATTTTGAGCAATCCAAAAGGTGTAGCAAAGTGTTTGATATGTAGAAATAATATATAAGTTTTGACTGTTTATTAAAATTTTCGAGAAAAAATAGCAGTAAACTTCATATTACATGTCAGAAATATCATACATACGTTTGTTCATCTTCCCCCATAGAAAAGTATAACATTCCAACCGCAGCAAACGTAACTAAATCTCCACACACTAAATCACTAAAATCAAAGGATAATTTTATTACAGGAATAGATTTATTATTTTATTTTAGTGCATTATAAGGTATAATTCTTGTCAAAAATAGAAACACACGTTAGAAAACATTCATGTACAGTAAAAAAATAAACATGTTTCTTTGCCGTTGTAACTGATGTAACGTTGACGTCATTTTGTACATTATGCTAATTACCCAAAATGGCCGCTGAACGAGTTCGTTGATTTCAGCAACATCAACACTTCGCGAAGGTTTTCCCCGCCAAACTTTGGATTATCCGCAGTGTTTGATCCTCGTATTAGCTTCAACGGACACAGAAGTGGCCTGGTTTGATATTCGCTGAATTTTCCAAGTAAGTGTCCTTTTATTTTTCAAATTCTTCAGGTGGTTTTTGCACGTCGAGATTTTCTAACGCGACGGAGCCTAAGGACTTGCCAACGTTTGCTAACTCGTGAAGAATCTCGTGTTTGTTTCTCCAGCCTTTCGTGTTTTCCTTTGCAATCTGAACCGATCCGAAGGTCTAGACACCTTTTTAAAGCAGGAAATCTAAACGTTAGGGGTTCTAAACCCAGACCCGGATGTCGTTACGTGTGTAAGGGTTATAGATAGTAGATAGTAGATCCTTTCAGCCAGGTAGGTATCCATCCAGTTTAGGCTGCTCGTTGCTCTACCGGACTGTCATTCCCGGCCTATGCGGGCAATCCAGGGCCGTGTGATTGTACATAATTGGATGACTCTCCATTCAAATCTCAATTCATCTCAAAAAGGTGTTGAATTTAATATTGTAATTAATAATAATTTGATATTCCTTTGGTGTTATCAACTTGAATAGCTCGTTCTCTTTTAGACCAAGTTGGTTAGACAAAATTTCTCCAACACAACGTTGTATAACACATGTTTGCAGTTGTTGTTTCCTGTCACCTTCTAGATTGTGTAACCAAATCTTCATTCAAATCCTTCTGCCCCCCTCCCCAAGCTTGTGTACTGTAAAATGTTGTTTTCTGCTGTGATGTTGTTATTTGTTTAGAGCCTGTGAATATAGTGTGATAGCCAGCCAAGCTTGGTTTGATTCTGTGACAAGGCTGATAGGTGATAATGACAAATGATCCCTCTGCAAATATAAATCACCCTGTACATATGGTAGGGAAGATGAACGGTTTTGGGTCTGTATAATTCTACAAATATCAAGAGATAATGGCAATTTCAATGATTCTGTTTTTCTAGTCCAAAGTCATAAATTATTATCACCGACATGTTGCCCAATGTAATGTCATAAATTACTGGCCGAGCAGGTTTAGGTTTAATTGCCTCTATTTCTCTATTTGAAACATAGAGTGTCTGTTGGTGTCTGTTGTTTGTACTTTATATGTCTTATTAGGCAGTCGTTGACTAGTTTGTTATATGCAAAGTTGACCTTTTTGTTGTTGTTATGCCTATGTGTGTTGGGGGAGTGGCATAGATTCAAGGTCTGATAATTTTGTAGTACAGCCTTGTAGTATCACTGATTGTTGTATTATTATAGGATGTTTGTTTCTCATTTTATGGAAAGTTGCTATGAAGGTGTTTGCTCCAGCCAGCCGTAATGTTCACTAGGTGAATATGCTGCTTGTTTCAGTCTAGTGTAACGTTGTTGCTAAGATTGGCAGACATACAGTGCCAACCAGGTCAGTCTGTTGTATTGTTTATCTGCCAGCCATTACATTTCCAGGCCGGCCCTCTTGTATTGTTGAACCGATCCGGATGTCATCTTTCACCGCGCCTCGGGCATGTTTTACCTGTTCTGCGGATTTAGACCGTCGCGTCATTTTCCCAAGCACTACGGGCGAAAAGTAATTAGTATCGGACAGCCCCGGTACTAATGGCAGACCATAATGTCATTCTGGTACTTTCTAAATTCTTCCCCGTCGGATTTAGAGCTTACTAAGTCCTGTTCCTGCATAAAACATTGCTCAGATTAGATTTCAAGTTTCTAGGCCAAACATACAACATCACACAAGCTTGTTGCAACAGTATACTATGTGGAAGAATTCTATATCCTTTCTTTACTTTGCTTTGGAACAATTTGACTCAATTAGGACAGAAGAGAAGATTTTCTTGTTGGCAAAGTATTTAAAAGTGTTGGAGTAAACAAGGAGGGTATATTCAAGTCCTTTGAATGAAGAAGTGCTGTCTATTAGTTTTTTTTTATTCCTTGGCTTGGGCACAATGTATCTGTGTTAGTGTGTAGTAAGGTTTTAGTACAGTAGTCCTATGGTCACACTGCTGTACCTATAAAGACTGCAATTGTACATACAACTATCAGGTACAGGGTAAGGTATTTTCCCGGTGACCTGGATGGTAGAAAGGCCTATGTACACAGAGGTGATTCCCACCTTTGTTGTCCAGATAAACACGTGAATCATGACTCTAATCTCCAGGTGAGCAAGGCTGTTGGTGCGGAACACACAGGTGAACAACTCACCTGGTGGCCAGGTAAAGGAACAACACACAATAGGTGCAGCACGAAGTGTGGCCACTCCTTTGCTTAAACTGCCACAGTTAAAACACAAGTAGTGTGTTGTTAAAGATACACATTCCTAGATTGAAAGATATCCATTGTGTACTTTACTTGTATTGTAGATACAAAATAGAAAACACAGGAAAAGGGCTTATAATGTATCCTGTTGGCAATATGGCTTATATCTGACTGTACGTATAGGAAGAGCCTTGGGGAAGCAAATGAAAGGTTTTCTGTCTATAGTATAGTAGTGTTTTCTTTCTGTCTGGACCCACCAATGGTTTATTCATGGCTGCCAATGCCTGTGACATTCACGCCGCTGAGACTGCTAATTTGACAGCCATGCCCTGCATCACAATACATCCGTTTTCATGCCAATTAGTGCATAGTTAATTAACAAAAGCCCATAGGTCCATTCTCCCAGTGTCCGATGATTGAATTAACACATAATTACACAGTGATATACAGTTTAGCCCACTCTTTGTAGAGGAATTAGGGAGGTTGTCTGGACACTACAGGAAAAATAACAAAACTCAAAGGAAAAGCTTTTTCAGGTTGTTTGGGTACAATGCAGCAAAACTAAACATATGTTTTCCTATTCATCGATTCGCTGTATTTCACAATTTTATGTGAAGGACCTAACATCTTTATGTATACTTGTTTTCAGAAGCAAAATTGCAAACATGCCAATATTTTTTCTCGATAATAATCCATAAATATGGAGCCTAACAACATGCTAGAAACATTTTGAATGTTAAACTTAAAGTAAGGTAGACATCTGGATATGTATTTTGCTGTATATTTTGAGTTTTGACACTATATCATTATGTTTGTCTAACACGGCTTGAACAATACATGTACACATAAATCTACTTTGAATGGTGAACAGTTCAATCATTGATCATGATGTACATGTTATTGTACGCTGCTTTGTTGGTCTGTCATATGGTGTTAGTTCCCACCAAGGAGGTACAATATAATCAATGTTTGAACCTCCTTATTCCCACGGAAAACAGACAATGAAAAATCAATGTGGGGTTAGTGCCGACTGCTGCCTACTTTGAAGTGTGTCTGGCTGTAGGGCTGTGTGGGTGAAAGCTATCGATATTCTCTTTGTCCCTGGGACAAGTATGATATGGATAAGATAAGATTGTACAGATAGTAACTACTGTGGTATAGAATTACACTGTAAATCTGTGATGTACTGTCCACTAGAGAGTTGATATATACTAGGAATAGTAGTACATATACAATATATACAGTCGTAATACTTACAGGTTGAAGTAAGCTAATTAGGCAAAACTGTACTGAAAATTGTTCATAATTTATGAAATCAAATGTTTTTGACTATTATTTACCAACCAAACAACTTTTACATTTACATACTAGGACAGTACAAAATTTAGTAGGTCTTGAGTATTATCAAGGTTGAAAGAAGGGGAAAAAAAATCAACAAATGATAGAAATCGTGAGCTATTTTTAGGATCATTTAAAATTTTTTTATGCAAGGACATTTTTGTTTTATCATCAGATTCTGATGTTTTGTTTCCATGATTCTTTCCGACTGTAGTCTAGCACAACAGACTTTCTTTCTCCTTTAAGTCAGATCTATTTTGGCAGGTTCTCCCTGTATAGTTGACAGTTCTGTATGCCCGGTTACCAGACTGTTTGTTTGTAGATGTTGTCCCCTACCCTTGACTCCTTTACTGGAATGTCTGCTGGCACAGCGAGTCCCAGCAAAGCTAATGCATTACACAGCTTCTGTAAACTATGGCAGTTGGAACAAGTGTGTTCCAGTTGGCCAGGTTTTGGAAGTTCTGCCTTGAGCACTAGACTGTAGACATATACAACTTCTGTCTTGTATCTAACAAGATTTTGAGATTGCAGAAAAAGTATAAACAACTTGCAACTGGCCAGCAAAAAAAAAAAGTGAAATGCATTTTTAACAAAATATTGCAGAGAATAGAAAGAAAATACATCTATTGTATTTTAAGACCAGTCTAACATTAGTTCAAAATCTCCTGCCTGAAAACAGATGATAATTTATCCATGTCTGTCTCATATTGAGGGTTTTTTGAAGGAAATATCGCAGAAAATAGGATAGAAATATTTCCAGCCCTGTCTCAGGCCCTGTCTATACTTTCCAGTAACATAACTTCAAAATCCTCGAAATGCACATTATAATTTATCCATCTCTGTCCATATTGATACAGTTTTTTATATATTATTGGATGGAAGCCAACTTGGTTCCTGAATGTTGAATCTTTCTATGCAACAAGACGTAAAGAATCTCAAACAAAATGCACACTACTTATTAAGTATGAACCTTTGACATTTTCGCTCGACCCGCTACATTCCACAGCATAGGCCCAGTTCCCCATGGTTATGATACTTCTCCCAATCCCTCTCCCAAAACTCAAGCGAAACAAATCACAAAGTTTATAGCTCTACGTTCTTTGTGCGAAAGTTTACACGTAAATACTCGAGTAAAAGTCATTTGTAAAGTTGTCTCAACATGTGTTTCAAGAGCCCCTACAGTTACAGTATGACCTTTTAATGATTACGATCAGAATCTTTAACCAGATCCATACTTGAGAACTGCGTCAGGACAGGGTAAATTGTAGGAGGGAGGGACAGAGCTGTCGTTTTGTTTTAGAGGGAAGATTTTTCAGCCAGGGACAGACCTGGTCACTGTAAAATTGCAGTTGTAACTGCTGGGATGAGTTACTCCACACATGTGATATGTCTGTGAGAAGAGTGTGCTGTAGGATTATCAGGCGATGTTACATAAACCATACCCTGGACATGTTGACTTGTTGCCAGGTACAGTTAGTCTCTTAGATGGGTTTTTGGAG